AACAGTGCAGCCCACGTGAACTGCAGCCCTGGTCACGTGGGGACAAGAAAGTGCACGCGAGTGTGCGGTTATGAGTCGGGAGCACCATGGGACAACCTTGGGGTTGTGGATGACAGCGTCCTGCTTGGGCGACGGTCTGGGCCAGTGTTGGCCGTAAGTCAGCTGGGTTGGCCTCACGCTGTACCCTCTGCTCTCCCTGCAGGAGCCTGAGTCGGCAGGATGGGTGTCGGGACGTGCTGATCTTCCCTGAGGACAGGTAAGTGGCATGGGCTGCACCTGGGGACGTCCCCTACCCACACAGGACAGCAGAGTGTCTTGGTGGGTCCTGTGGGTGGGGGGGGTGGCAGGGGTGGACTGTGGCACTGGACAGTATGTGTTCCTGGTCTGCCTTCTGCCTGGGTGGGCCCAGCTCCTGGGCTAGATGAGGTAGGTGTAGGGACAGCAGCCAGGGGTTTGATGTCCGGCTTCAAGGAGGAGCCTGTTGTAGGGCTGACTGATGTGGTTGCTGGTCAGCACATCCGCTGGGCCTGCTTGTGGCCCACTCAGCTGGGACAACAGCCACCACGGAGTCTGATATCGGCACAGCCTGCCCAGCCCAGCACTTGGCTCTGGGTGGCTGCTGGCTGCCCTGGGGAGACTGGAGCTGCCCGCTGGGACAGAGATGGGCCCCGAGTCCAGGCACACTCGCCCTTGTCTGAAATATTTCAGTTTTGTGGGTCTTCTGGTCTCCGTGCAGCCACACTGCTCTGCTGTTGTGCGGCAGGTGACTGGTAACTGAACATCTGTGCTCTGATCACAGCCATGGGCCAAGTGCACTGTCGTGTTTGGGGTTCATCTGTTCATCACGGCCACCAACTCCAGTGGGACTGAGGTGTGGTGCCTGGAAAGTGTGGCAGGGTGGGAGGCCAAGGGGCTCCTGTGTCCCCCCAGACCCTCTGAAGGGTGGGAGGCTTGCTCTGCACCTCAGCCTGTCAGAGTCTTGCTGTGGTGGCTGCTCTGCAGCAGGGTGGGCAATGGCTTGAAAGAACAGCTCCAGTTGCTCTTGTTCCACTAGTGTGGCTGCCCAGTCCCCAGCCTGGCTGACAGCACCGAGCACCCTCTCTGCGGAGGCTCGGCCACGCCCAGCCCTCCCGGTGATTCTCAGCGACACTTAGCGCAGCGTGGAGGCCTGGCCCGTGGGTGCCGTGCTCACATGCTGGGGAGAAGGTAATGGCCACAGACCCAGGAGCCTCCAGGCCTCTGGACACCTGTGTGTCCTGTGCTGAGGGCTGCAGGCCAGAGGGGAGGGGCAGGGTGGTCGGCTCCTCGCCTATTCCCAGGACCTTGGGTGTGGGAAGCTGCCGACCAGGATGGCCTGGTGGGAGCCAGGGCTGTTGCTGCCTGGCCATGTGGGAGGACCAGCGTCTGGCCAAGTAGCTCGCTGCTCAGGCCATTTGGCCACACGGGGTCTTCCCAGTGGGGGTGAGGAAGCTCAGGTGGTGTCCAGGGCTGGCCAGGCCTAGGGATGTAGCATTGCTTGTGGCACAGGTGATGTGGTGTCCGGGGACTGGGTGGCCAGAGGGGCTGCCCCACCCCCCTGAACTCTTCATAGGCCACTTTAGGGAGCTCCGGTCGGCCAGACGCACAGTGACAGCTCTGGTCTGCAGCAGGGTGGCTGGCCGGGCAGGTCTCCGCTGTTGTTTTCTCCTTTCCTATCCTTCTTTCTCCGTGCAGCTCTTGGTCTTCTCCCTGTTTCTCTGTGGTCTCTCGGCCTCTTTCTCTGCCTCTTCTCTCTCCCATCTCTGTCCTGCCCATCTGGACAGCGGTGATTGATGATTCATGTCTGCCCTGGGTACTGGAGGGGTGAGTTGTGGCCTTCATGCTACCTCTGCTCTGGGCCTGTTTCACAGACTGGGAAGTGGAACCTGGGCCCTGAGCCGTGGTCCTGCCCACATCAGGAGGGAGATGGGTAGGAGGCCTTGGGGCTGAAAGTCAGCACCCATGTGTCACCTCACTCACCTTTGGCCACTCAGCACTCACTCGCCAAGCCCCATGCTAGACCCTGAACATTGCAGCCACATCAGGCCCAGCTCTGCCCTTGGGGAGCCCCCAGCCTGGCTGAGGGGACACACACACACACACACACACACACACACACACACACACACGGAGAAGCCAGTGGCCAACCATGGGATCATGAGGTGGTGGTGAACAGCAGCGTTCCCCAAGGGGAGCTGGAGGACAGCGTGAGGGGTGACTCGTGCCGATGCCAGGCCCAGTGAGAAGGGCCAGTGGGGACATGGGTGCCATGTCCTTCACCACCACTGGGCCAGCACTGGTGTCCCCTCTCGGAGGCCAGCACCAGCCGGGTCAGTCCACGTCTGCCTGCTGAGGAGCAAGGCTGCGTCTTCTGTGGCCGCCTGGCCCCCGTGCCGGGGCTTTGATCTATTTCTCCACCATTGATATGAGTCTTTATATGGTAAAGATACTAATTCTTTGCTCATCTCTTTTCCTGCAGCACATTTTTTCTCAATCTTTTAATTGTTATTTATGACAGTTTTTGATGTTCAGAAATTTTTCATACTTTGTGGGCGAAGCCTGTTGGTGTTTTTCTTTTTCTTAGTTATTCCGTTGGCGTGTCTGTAGTCAGCCGTCCTTAGCGTGTAGCCAGGTGAATATGCACCTATTCTTTCTCCTCCTGGGTATTTCCACTTCAGTTTCGGACACTTAGGATCGACTCCATCTGTCCTAATCCGTTTCGTGCTGCCGTGTCAGAATGCCTGCGGCTGGGTAGTTTATAAAGAACAGAGATTAATTTCTCACAGTTCTGGAGGCTGGGAAGTCTGAGATTGAGGGGCCTCATCTGCTTAGGGCCTTCGTGCTGTGCCACCCCGCAGGGAAGGACGGAAAGGAAGACAGCACAGGAGAGCGCAGAAGGGAGTGAGCTCCTCCTCTTACCAGGAGCCTGCTCTGAGATAACGGACCCCTCCCACTCCCACAGCAACGAGGACAGAGCTCTGGGACGTCATCACTTCTTAAAAGTCCTAGCTGTCGGCATTGTTGCGTGGGGGTTAAGTCTCCAGCACGCCCACTTTAGGGGACATGCTCAGACGACAGCACCATCTGTATTTATTTTGACATAAACATGAGGCGAGGATTTAACTCTGTTTTCACAGCTGTGTCTGCACGGTCTCGTGACTCGTATCTTTGTAACTGGAAGTTGGAAATGTCATGACACCCTCATGTCCTCAGGTTTGTGTCACCCGAGTGAAAAAGATGAGGTTGGGGGCCCCCTCACCACCAGACTTTGTTTTCTGAAGCCCGGTTGTCCTGTGCGTGTGTTCCCACGGGAGCATGCTGGATTGCTCTGTCACTTCCTCCCTGGCACCTCTGTGGCACTCCCCGCGAGTTGGCCCTGCGTGGCTCAGGTTGGCCCTTCCTCTGGGGGTGTGGTGCCTCTCTGCTGGCATCTGGCCTTTGCCTGCCAGATGCTGACCAAGGCTGGGGACGTTGCTGGGCCCAAGCCACCCTGCAGGGAGGGACATGTCTCCTCGCGTTGATGTTGGCTTGTGTGCACTTTTCACACGGGTGGCCCTCGCCCAAGCAGCTCTGTCATGCTGACGTGGGTGAACTTGCCTTGTCCTCGAGGGTCATGGGCTTTGGCATTCTCATGACCCAAGGCAGAGGCGCTGCCAGACCAGGGGCTCACACATGTCCTGTTGGTGTCCCAGCCTTGGGGGCTGGTGGGAGGCGGTGGTCTACTGATCTGGCTGCCATGCAAGCCCTTGCCCTCGTGGTCAGGAGCCTGGTGTGGGCTGGCCAGCTGCCCTTGCCGTGCATATCCTACCTAGAGTGACTCGTGGCTAGTGGTATGGTCCGTGCTACAGGGTCAGCCGGGGGAGGCCTGTGTCACCAAGGCCACCAGGTGAGGGCTTTCCCAGGCAGTCTCCACACACCACTTTGGGGAGGCTGTTTGGTGCATCCCCATCCCTGTCTCGCCAGGCTGGGCCCCAGCCTCATCGCTCAACTCCCCAGAGCACCCCCAGGCCCTGGGATCCCCTCTCTGGCCTCTCCCTGGGCCCCCAGTGCTCCTCAACTGCCCTCAGCCCCTGGCTGTTCACAAGCCTCCTTGGACTCAGGGTGGCTGCAGGGCTGCCCTTCCCCTAGGCCTGGGCACCTCCATTCCAGCCTGACCCTCAGGGAGTCCTGTGCTGTGGGGACAGCCCTGCAGGAGTACCTCACTGAAGCTCGGAATTGGGGAGTCTGAGGCTGAGGCTTCTCTCCTGTAGTGGGGGGGCTGTGGGGACATGGGAGCTGGGGAGGATGAGGCCTTCACCTGGTGCCCACCTCCCACCCCCTATCCTGTCTTGCTGGGTTCAGTGTTGGTGAGTTTGGTATTTGGAATATGCCTTTAGTTAAACTTTTTCTTTTCAAAATATTTTCACTCTCACTGAAATTCTAATTAGGCCATTCACACATCTGAATGTACTTGCTGCCCTCTGCATTTTGCAAGATAATGGGGCTGCAGAGATGGCTGCCAACCCTGTCCTCCTGGGGCCTTCCTGCACGCCCTGGAGGGAGGTGCTGGGCCTCCCGGGGCCTCCCGGACCTTCAGACAGGTCCAGATCTGGCCACAGCATGGAGCATATGGGTGGGGAAACTGAGGTCTGGGCCACTGCGGCGTCAGGGATGGCATAGGTGGAGGGGTCTCAGCCTGTAGGGGCCCACTCTTCACAAAGCAGCGTCTGCCTTCTCAGAGGACCCACTGCCTGCCCCAGGCCTGGAGTCAAGGCCACAGTCTCATGATGCCAGGGACGTGCCTCCTGCTCCCCTGGGCTTTCCAGGTGTGCCCAAGAGGCTGAGTGCCTGAGCAGCAGAGGCCAGGTGACTGTGGTGCCATGTCTCCCAGTTTTGCCTTTATTTCTTAATAAGAAAGCAATATGTGCTTGTTTATAGAAAATAAAAGAGAAGGTTTGACTGAATGCAGAAAAGGAGGAGAAACGAGAACTACCTGTCTCGCACACATCCACAGCCAGCACAGCTGACCGCCATCCCCAGGTGTGGTTGTTTAAGTGTGATGTGCCCTGTGATCCTGGCAACACCTGGCATTGCTGTCACCTCTCCTGTTGTCGCAAAAGCAAGGTGGGCACCTTCCCTTCCACCCGCAGCCTCTCCTCTGAGCCACCTGGCTCCTGACCCCCAGGCCTTGCTCTTCCCCCAGGCACGTCAAAACATATCCCATTGTGGGCCCAGAGCCTGCTTTTCTGTCTTTGAACGCTTTGGGCTTAGCCTTGAGGTCCTGGGGGGGGTGCTGGGGCAGACCCTTAGTGGGGTGATCAGACACCAGTGAGCCTGCGGGAGCACCCCAAGGCGGCCCCCTGCAGCCCTACTCCCCAGAGACAGCCAGGCCCACCTTCCACAGACAGAGCCCACCCAGGGACCTGCCCAGAGGATAGACCCCCACTGGGAAAGCAGACAGCCCAGGGAGCCCAGACCCCCCAGCAGGCATGTGTGAGGTGACAGACACCACTCATGGTTTTGTGCTAAGGGACCTCGGCTGGTCCCCACTGAGCCTGCTGTGGGTGCCATGCACAGCTCGTGCTGGGGCTTCCCCCTCAGCCTCTGCCCCACGATGTGTACTTCCTCACCCCAACCCTGGTCCCCGTGAGGGTGGGAGGCCCGGCGGTGCCAGTCCCCCCACAGATGATCACCTCCCGGGTGAGGCACGAGGACCTGCAGCAAGGGGCAGAGAGGTGCCCTGGAAGTGAGAGGGGCAGCCGAGAGCTGAGCTTCCTGTGCACACGTCTGTAGACACCGCGGCTGCTCACTCAGAGGCTCCAGGGCTCTGCTGAGGGGTCAGCTGTGCCCCTTGGAACGTGCCATGGGCCTCCCAGTCTGCTCACCATGGGCGAGTGTGGGGCTCTGGGGCTGTCTAGAAGACCTGGCACAGGGGTGGGGAGCAGGAGTAGGGAGGATTTGGGTGCAAGAGGAAGGAGGGGCAGGGGTATAGGGACAGGAAGGTGACAGGGAGATGGATACGGGGGAGGGCCGGATGCAGGAGGGATCAAGGGTACAAGGAGGAGTCGCGGGAGAGGAGGTGGAGGTGATGGGGGGCAGGAAGGGGAAGGAGAAGGAAGCTCCCGTGTGTTCTAAGCACCCCGGCCACACACAGCACCTTCTGAGGAGAACTGGCATCACTGGCGCGGGCGGGCTGTGGACCCTGGGGTTCTTGAGCCTCCCAGTCAATGGGCACAGACCCTCCTGCCCAGGGAGTTTGGGGGCTCATTGCCTCCCAGGAAGGTGACAACCTGTCAACCCAGAGCCTTGAAAGGACAGGTTCATGGCCAGGACCCACTGTGGGCCCACCTCCTCTCAGTTGGGGCTTCCCTGCCCACCACAGCCCCAGACCTGGCTGGGGCTAGGGACTTGGGTGAGACCAAGACCAAGACCAAGACCATCTTCCTCTCGGGCCTCAGAGCGTGCGGGAGTGTCTTACACTGGGGAAACTGAGGCTCAGCGAGCCCAGCCCCAGGTAAGCATACTTCCCCTTTCCAGTCTTCTAGGTGACATTTCTCTGGCATTTGCAGGGAGCTATTGTTGGTGACAAGACTAATTCAGTATTTGTGTTTGAAGAAATAATTCCAGACATTTATTTGCCAAACCTGTGAAACAGAGGCAGCGGTTAATTTGAAATTAAGCCTTTGTGCTCACACACTTCTGTCTTTACAGAGCCAGGGTCTTCCGGAAGCTCAGTGTTTCTGGGGGTGGGCATGGGTGGTCCCCAGGGTGTGGTGCAAGGAAGGAGGCCATCTGTGACTCTGTGACCCAGGCAGACAGCCTTGTGCCCTGAGCCGTGAGCCTTCAGGTCCAGTGCATAGGCTGGCATGGTCCCCTTGCTCTTGGTGACTTGTCCCAAACCCTGACCCCACCTGTCCTGCTCTGATCACTCAGAGCCTCTGCACCTCCACCAATGGTGACAACCTCCCAGAGCCACTATCGCCTTAGTAGGGCAGGAAGCGTGAACCTCGGCCAGACCCTAGGTCTGAGGACAGTAGGTTTGGGTGGAGTTAGGGGACTGGGTGGGGGTGGAGCAGTGTCCCCTGTCCCCTCCCTTGCAGCTTGTGAGGCTGCTTCTGCCAGGGCCAGAGCAGCTCCTGCACTGGGCCTTTCCTTTTCCTTCATCAGATATTTATCTGGCTCTACCCACCCTCCCTTTGAGACTCCCCAGTCCCTGGGACACCACCATCCTCACTCTTTGTCTGCATCTCCCTTGGACTCTGCAGACTTCCTGGGTGGCCCACCCCCTGGTCATTCTATTAGTAGAAGTGGAAGTGAGGTGCCCTTACCAAGGCAGCACCTCCTGAACCTTCTGGAGCCCTGAGGCAGTCCTTCTCCTGACACTTTTTCAGTTTCTCGAAACAGCTGGCTTTAGTGTAGGATGCAAGCTCTGATTCCGGGGCTGGCCCAGGCATAGGAGCTGCAGTGCTTTGCTGGCCCAGGCACTGTTCTCTGGCTGTTTGTCCTTTCCTCCTTTGTGCAGCAGAAACAGCTCGAGCATCTGACATGTGTGAAATGCTGTGGTGACTGCCACCCAGCCCTGACCTGTAACCCAGCAGAAGCCCACATGGTCTCTTTCTCCCCTACTCCAACCTTCAGTTCCAGATGTGACAGCAGGGGAAGGTTTAGATTTCTATAAATCTTCCTTACCCAGTCAGAGGCCTGAGAGCTGGTGGACTACACCATAGGGAACTTCACAGTGTGATCCTGGGCTTACAAGTTAATTTTCTTTATCGTCTTTTAGTTCTGGCCCCTCTGAACAATATCTATTAAAAATTCCTGTGTTTCTAGCACGTGGAAGGTAGTCAGTGATAGGTGCAAATTTTGTCCCTTAATTTCCATATTTTGTTGATCATTTCAATGGGAATTGTGGTTTGGGGACTTTAAGGCTATGAATTTACCTCTGAGTACAACTTTGGCTATAACCTGTGCATATTTATATATAATATGATAGTATATTTTTTCACTATTTCTAAATAGCTAACTCTGTATTCTTAAATTTTTATCTTTGATCTACTATTTATTTAAAATGGTGCTATATAATTTATGGCAGAGCACAGTGGTTCACAACCATAGTCCCAGCACTTTGGAGCACTGTGAGAGGCTAAGCTGGGAGAATTGCTTGAGGTCAGGAGTTTGAGACCAGTCTGGATGACCTCTGTCTTTACAAATAAAAAAAGAAAAAAAAAATTAAAGGGTACTGTGCAATTTCTAACATATTACATGGGGGGCCTCCTCTTTAATTTTAATTTTTAATTTTGGTAGAATATACATAACATAAAATT